CTGGGGTATCAGCTGTCCATATGTGCACACAGAGACTGCTTCTGGTAATTTCATACTCTTCTGTGCAGGAGCAAGGCAAAGAGTGAAGCTGCTCAGATTGAGCAGTCTATCTGTACTAGGACTTTCCAAATTGTCCATAACTGCCTTTCTTTGGGGACCTGGGCTCAGGAGAGGAGTCTAGGCTGATTTCGTTACTGGTTATTTCTAAGAAGCAGAGTCCACTGCTACACCATGATGTAATAATAATAAATAAAATAATAAATAATGAATAAAAAAAATTGCTCTCGTATTTTTTTTGAAGAAGTTTTCACTAACCAGTAGAAAAACATGGTATTTTTCCTGCTTTATTAAGGACATACCATGCATTCCTCCTGCTTGAGATAGGCAAAGCTCGAGAGCACAACTAATTAAAAGGCCAAATGAAGTAAAGGCAGAAGTAAAGGAACCCTGCCTGTGGACTTCTGAAAAACCAACCATCTAACATGTGCTCCAGGCAGTCCAAGAAACACTGCTTGTCATAAACTTCTTTAGGGTCTGAGACCTGTTATGGGGAGGACAGAGAGTGCCCTGCACATGCTTAAGTTGTTAATTGCCATTCTTATGTTCTTGGGAATGACCAGCTTGAGATCTGTACCATCCTTGCGTCCATACCAGCATCTTAACATCACAAACTTGATACATGCTAAGAATCACAAATAAGCCAGAAGCGACACTCTGTGTGCTCCAGTAGTGCAGAAGCAGCTTTGGAAAAGCTGTGGATTCAAGTTAAGAATAGATGACTTCCAGAAACTGCTTAAGCCCATTGGAGTGCCATTTTTTTTATGATGTCAAATAGACTGCTTTTTAGATATTATTGTTTTAGATATTATTTTAGACATTATTGTCTCTTTGGGGATCGTGGCTATGACACATTCTTGTAATCAGGGGTGGGTTGAGGCAACTATGTGAAGGTTAAGTCTTTAAATCCCAGTTGTTGCTACTGTGGTGGCATTATATAACTTCATTATATAACTCAGTCTCCCACCTAGAGCTGCTTGGGGGAACAAAACGCTGCCATGAAATAAGGAGGGCCAGGATGGCCAACACTCCTGCTGAGCCTAACAGTCTTCAAGTGCATCTTGAGCAGACTTTCTCTGCGTGGGCCTGACAAGATCTCTTTCTTCTTCCTTTCCCTCTGGGCAAAAAATACACGTTATTGCAAAGATATGATAAAAATATATAGGCAAGCAATAATTGCAATTAGAAATTATAACAATTAGAAATTTGCAGCTGAATTTCTAAAATTTATTATTCTTAACCTTCTTTTTGTACACAAAAAGTGTTTCTCAGATATGTGGTATGTTTTTAAGAATTTATCTCGGAGGGAAATCATAGTCTACCTCACATATTCTAACCCTTTCTTTCTTCTTCTTTTTTTTGTATGCTTTTTAAAAAATGATCTGATCTTTTATTTGACAAGATTAAATCTGGTTATGAGCAATGAGATATTTTTTAGTGTCAATAGAGCAAGACTTTGAAGTTCAACAAAGTCTTAAAAAATTGGCTGCCATGGAAAGAGCCCTTATGCTCTGTTACTCACCTAAGCAGTTCCTTACTGCCCTCTAGTGCAGTACTACTATCCTCACAGGCACTAACGGCTGTTCAAAACCAAGTGTATTGATAAAACACGTATTTGCTGGCAGGGTGTTCACATTTATGTACTGAGAAGCTCTGCAGGTTCCCTTTTATTATTTTTCAAGTGAAACAGTAGGGAACCTGGGAGCGAGCAGATGTTGGGATCCAAGGGCAGAGCCTACATAATGGAGCATTTCAACATCAGGTGTTGGAGCAAGACAGCTGGGACACGGGGTACTTGTTGCACAGTTGGTGACAGCTCTTACCCTTACAGGTTCACCTTTTATACCCATCACCCTTCTCATATGTCTCCTTTTCAGGATGATTCTTACCTTCTGTTTTGCAAAGCCTCCCCTCTGGCTCTCTTTTCTATATTCCAGTCCTACTGGTGTCTCTTTTACAGCGAGTAATTTAGCCATCTTTTCTACTTTGCCCTCCAACCCTTCTCAAACACAAACAGGCTGAATACAGCGGGTCCTAGCAGAACTCCACTCAGTTTCTTCCTGCTGTGTTGACTGGGCTGCACCTATTCCCCTCTCCCGAGTCCTTTAAGTAGATAAAACCTATGAAAGGACCTTCCCTTGCTTGCCATAAGCTTGCCATGCTTATTCTGCTACAAAGCATCAGGTAAGACACCATTGGACACCTTTGAAGACTCAAAAAGGCTGGAGGCAGGACTTGCTTTTAAAGTCACATCTCTTCCTGTATTATTTTTCCATACGTCTGCAAGTCTTGTTTAACAAGAATTAGCTTACTATTTCCAGTGCTCCATAAAACCAAGCAGGCTGCAGTTCCACCAAGCTCCTTGGCATCCTTTCTAAAAGCTGCTGGAGGAACTGGCATTTTCTACTCCTCGAACATCAGTGCTGTTTCAAGGGACAAGGTCCAGACTACAGTTAGATCAGCAGTTTCCTGTCTGACTTCCAAATCCCAGCAGTGTGCCCTCGTGGCCAAGAAGGCCAATGGGATGCTGGGTGCATTAAGAAGAGCGT